TGTGAAGGTTTCCATGTCACAGACATTAACTGTGAGCAAAACTACAGAGCGTAAAAGTAAAATGGTGACTGTTAAGACAATAGCTGATCTGATGAGAGAGGAGTAGTTTTAAGTTTCAACTGCTATGTTTATGGAAACTAATTTAATTGTGTGTTTTGATGGGTAATACAATGGCATCTCTTCTCAGTGAAGTCTGTTTATCGTTATAACTCAGCTTGATACTTGTTTGCAAATTTTAGTTTTTTCACAGGTTCATTCATTAAAATGTAAAATATGATGCTCCTGGGTTTATGTTACAGAAAATGTATATACTGTATTATTCAATTGCTGTTGTGTTAGTTTACATTTGTAAATGTTATGAATTTGGTCCAAACCTGCCCTTTGTTAGTCCTTGTTATCAGTGTATTTAAGTGATGCCTTTGTGTTTTCCCCAGTCAGTGGTTGTTCATGTTACTCTGTGTTTTAAGCTCTCCATGATTTCCTAACCCTCCTCCCCATTTAGTGCAGTTTCCTAGTCGTGTTACTTTGTGGCTTCTTTTGTTAATACATACTTTTCCCTGTTTATTATTGACCCATTGTGATCTGTTTTTTTTTTTTAATAAAATGTTCTCGTGGATCGTCACCTTTTTTCTACCTGCACCATGTCACGCTGTGACAGTCTTCTATTTCTTCCTGTATTTTCTATTTAATTTGTGTTCTGTGTATTTCTCTTTAAGGTTGTTAGACAAAAGCAATCTATTAGTGTTGAAAGAAAGAAAATTGCTGTGTAGTTCGCCTTGCAACAACTTACATTCACATTTGGGACTGGGACCACCGGACAGGAATCAGTTTGGGGAATATACATGCAACACTCTACAGCAAATAATAATAATGTGCATTTAAAATCACAACACTATTTAATAAAAATCGATGCAGCCGTTATATATATATATATAGCCAGTTCTTGCGGATACTGACTGTACCAACTGTATAGTAAATGTCATTCTACCATTTTCGTTTTTCCACCTTATAGCACTGATATTTATAATTTGAACCCTTTTACCAATGCGATTTGCACTTGAAGAAGGTTTGAAGTTTCAGGTTTTAATTTATTTTAGAAAAACATATTTAAGTTTCTAACATCATACATCAACTGTATCTAATACATAAAAACTGAACATTTCGTAGTATACACACACACACATATATATATAAATTTGTTTTACATTGTTTTCATAAATGACTTACTTGTTGTGGTCATTTGTCCCACTGTTAAGCTGAAACATCCCAATAACAGGAAGGAATACAGCATTTTCTTTCCCTTTTGACCCTATTAATGGGACCTTCTTTACACGCCTAAAGAACGAGCTTCTATCTGGCCTGAATGAGGAGTGTTTTGAACATTTTCTTCTTAGCAATGGGAGGAGCTCTCAAGAATGTCTCTTTGACATGTCATCCAGGATGTCAAATGTATGTTTGTAATGTAGGCAACTAAGATAATAGCTATATACAGTGCTGTGAAAAAATATTTCCTGATACCATCATTTTATTCTTATTCTATCACTTCATTGTTTCTGATCTCCAGACAAATTTAGTACAATACAAAGGGCAACTTGAGTAAACACAATATACAGTTTGTCATGCCCTGTTCGTGCCGATCCTCCTGTGTGCCACGTCGCCCTCACTACCTTGTGTGGAATCCCCATGTTACCAGCTGTTTTGAGTCATGTTCATTGTTACTGTGTATTTAAGCCCGGGTTAAAGTATGTTTCCCCAGTCCGGTCATTAACGTCTTGATGTCGTTATGTTCTTGGTGTTCTTTATGTTCCTGATTGTATTTATCCCTAATAAATCCTTCGTTCCCTGATTCCTCGACTCCCTTTGCCTGCTTGCCTGCCCCGCATCGTGACACAGTTTTTAAATGACCATTTTATTCATTGAAGGAAAAAAAAAAACACCAACACCCAAAGCACTTTCTAAAACCCACGAACTCCAGAGAACCACTGTGAAAGCCTTCATCTCCAAATGAAGAGAAAAAACTTGGAACAATCTACCTAAGAGTGGTTGGTCTAGAAGAATTACACAAATAGTACATGGAAAACTCATCAGATAAGTCACAGCAGATTCCTGCAGATTCTAAGGTTAGGCTGGCCTCTCTCAGGTCAGTTAATGTATGTGTTTCATGATTAGAAAGACACTGGACAAAAATGGCAA